CCCTGGAATCACTCAAGGTCAGGTTAGACGGGGCTCTGAGCAAGCTGATCTAGTCAAAGATGTCCCTGCTCACTGCAGGGCATTGGACTAGATGACTTTTAAAGCCCCCTTCCAAACCAAATCATTCTATGATTTGCCCCATGGAGGCATGATCTCGCTACGATGCCATTTGTTAAGACAACGTCCTCAACAAAGCTCTTGCAATTTGCCCCTTTGGGCTGAGCTGGGGCTAAGCAAGGTTGCAGAGCTCTTTAGGGCACCCTCAAGAAATGAGCAACCAAAAGAGCATGCTGGAGAGCTGGAAACCAGCAACATCTAGTTGCCATGAGGACACTCACGACTGATTTAATAGCGTGAGACTCAAAGTGAACTGGTTTATTTTAAGCTCCCTGAGACCAAGTTTGCCTGCCTAATGCATTCTGACTTTTAGATTGAAGACGTAAATATCTTGAGACTTTGGACAGATCCTTTGGAGGACACACAGCTTGGAGGAGGAAACCAGATTCAAAAATAATACCTGGAATTGTTTCAACAGTTCTATAACTGATCTTACTCGGACCAACGGAGTAGCCAAAGTATGGCCATCTGTTTCCGCTCCCCCCTGCCCTCCCGGCTGACTTCAAACCACCCCACCAGCAGAAAATGCACTGAGCATCCCGTGAAGGAAGAACAATTCAATAAACCTAAAACCAAAAAGGAACACTTCATTTTAGCAGAGGAAGCCGTAGTGATGTGACTCACTTGGTGGCTTTTGAGGCTCTCCCCCACGTTTCAGCACTGTCACTTAGAGGTTATTTTTTGCGTTTGCCCTGTTACAACCCGGCAGGTCTCGAGCCGTGTGCTGCTCCAGAGCATCGGAGCGGTTACAGACATCTTTGGGCTTGGTGCCTGCTGAGCTGAGCGTGTTTACAGGTTGGGATGTACAGGAGCCATCGGGGATTGTGCACCTCCATTCCCTGATCTCTGGGATGAGCATATGGGGGACAGGCAGAATTTTGGCTCCGCTTCTCCCTGCCCTTGACCCGCCAGGTCCCCTGCCAGAGACATGCCTGGCCAGCCCTGTCCCTCCAGACGGGACAGTGGGAGGGGGATCACACTTGTCAAACTTGGCCGCTTCCCTCACACTGCTCCTGGGGAACCTGTCCCACCTCCCACCCTGGCCACCCTTTACTGCTCTGGGTAACGTTTTTTTTCATGGTGGTTCGGTCACAGAGTCCTTCCCTTGTGTAATTTGGCCACTGCTTAAGGAAGCCTCGATAGGAGCATCGTCCGTAGCCCTGGAGGTGAAATTGGCCACTGTGGCCACCCTGGGGACAACTCAAGCAGCAAATACTCAGTGGAGAGTCATCTTAGACCAGCTTAAGGACTTTGGCAGCCCCGACAGCTGCCACACACAAGGAAGGGAAGCCACACGGCAAGAGCATTCTTGCCAGGACGGCTCTGTGCACACAGACTCCTGCTCATACAGAGCTGCTCTCAGCAGCAAGTCGGGTTTATTGGAGAACTTTTTGCTGCCATCTCAAGCCGATTCCCCACCCGAGCCCACCGAGATGCTGCACTGCTGCACCCTCCTTCAGACAAGAGCTGAAAACGGACCTCCAGGATGGTCTTTTCAGGACCGTCCTATTAAGCCATCTGTATGGCCACATTGGCAGGAGGACCATACTGCAACACAATATGTTGCCTCAGCACAGGAAATGTACTCAGAGCCCCCAGCGCTTCAGCTGATGGAGATTTTTCTTCCTTTTCCATCAGCCACCGCTGTAAAGCTGCGCTAAGAGGCAGCTACATCCCCCGGCAGGAAGCTGTGTCTCATTAGCAGAGGTAAACAATTCCCCTGAACGTGACGAGTCAGGAGAGCATATTAAATATGTCAATATCTTACGTTTTTTTAATCCCTTCTCCGGAACATCATGTCACAGTAGGCAAGACCCCCCAGCATGGCTCAGAGCCCTACTACACCCCATCTGGCATTTCCCCTTGCTCAGGTCTTTCTCCCCTCTTTGGGAAGGGAGTGGGGAGCTCTGGGCAGGTGCCCTCACCCACCCGAGCAAGCCTGAACACTCCATTGATTTCCCTTGCTCAGTTGGCACAGCTGCAAGCAAGTAAAAAATAATAAAAACTATCCAGCCATTTGCTTTTAAAACATCAACCGAAACATCCATTTAGTAGCCACCCTGCTCCGGGGATGGGACCGCACCGGAGCTCAGCAGCTCCAGCCCTTCCTCTCAGCGCACACAGAGATGGCAAAAGCCACACGATGCTCAACAGGCTGTAACGGGGGGAGCAAATCCCAGCACAGCACTCGTGGCTTTACTGCCGGGCAGGTGCGTGTCTGAGAGCAAGACAATGTTGAAAGCAGGACGGGTTTTACCCTGTTTTATCAACTGGCTTCTGCTGCTGTCCATGGCAGCCTCGTGCACACACGCACGACAACACATGCTTTATTTACAGGAGTCCCCTTTTCTCCCCAAGGCTGCTGCTGCATCCCCTGCAAAAGAGCCTGGTGCTCACGTACGGATCAGCTGCTCGCTGTTTTGTTTTATCCCTGCTGCTGGTGGAGCAGACTTCTGCCTCATTTACAGCGTGCTACTCACACACTACTCACAGGACAGAATTATTTATGTCCTCCTGAGCTTTTCTAGGCTACTCAGCCCTATGGGCTCAACTCGCTGTGCCAATAGTTGCTCACATTGTGTGTGTGTCTCTGAGCTGTGTGGAGGCACCAGAGAAACGTTTTACAGACATGGAGTGGAGAAGCTCTAAGTAGTTCCCAAGACTTTTGGTTGCCCAGCTGGAGATGGCAAAGCCCAGATTTTCCAGAGCACCTCATGTTACCCAGTAGTTCCCGTATTCAAAGTGCAGCCCCACAGCCCCACTTTGCACCCGAGAGCACCCATTTGTACAAGCCAGATCCCCTGCCCTGCTTTGTCTGGGGTGTACATGGGACACCCTAAAAGCACGCCACAAGCACTTAGACTCCCAATGGTTTCCCAGGTCAAAGCAAGCCCGTGGTGCAGGGTCAGTCTCCAGTGCTGTGGGCGCAGAAGCCGCCTGTTCCCACACTTGCAGCAGGGCTCTCCCAGCCCTGGGACACAACCAGCCTGCGCAGACCCCAGCCCTGCACCTCCTTTGTCTGAGCCCCCAGGTACCAGCATCAGGTCCCTGCGAGCCAGAGACCAGCCCCCGCCACACACACACCCCAAGCAGGAGCACGCTGCTCCCTCCACGCAGCACCTTTCCACAGGCTCCCGACCACGCACAAAGCATTCACAAACCAAACCACAGAACCCAAACTGTCTTACCTTGCAAGTCCGCTGTGCTCGGGAGGGTCAGATCTCACACCCCAGCAGACTCCTCACCTCCAGCCATCAGCTCTGAGCAGCTCCAGCTGCTTTATCACCTCCTCCTCTGCCAGGTGGCTCTGCCCCCCTGACGAGGGTCCCACCACAGCTGTCGTACCAATCCCTCTCCCTCTCCAATCCTCTGGATTCTGAGTCCGAGAAGGAGGTAAAGCAACAACAAAGAGATGATACGTATGCAAAAAAGATTTGTAGTGTGATGCAGAGGATTTTTGCAGGTGGTACCCACTGTAGCACAGCCCCACATCATCCCCGAGGCAGGTCTGACCCACACACTCCTGGAGGCAGGGGCTGCAGGGCAAGGAATGATGGCTTTAACACACGTGTGGATGAGCAATAAACCCATTGGCACAGCTAACCCTGATGCCCGCCTCCAAAACTTCAACATTTGGTGTGTGACCTTGATGATGTGTCCTTAGTGCAGTTCAGCACATGTGGATGCGTGTGGGTGTCCCTGCAAAACATGCGAGCTTGGCCGTGCCCTGTCACTTGTGGGCAGAATGGGATGGCTGAACCTTTTCTCCCGTTGCCCAGGCCTGCAGGCAATGAGTGATGTAGCAGTAGTAGCAGCAGACATTGTCGCCTGGATGGGATGAGCCATCCTTCCCACCGTGGTCCCTGTGGCTGGGTGAGGACCGTTGCATCTCCTGCGTGCAGCTGGGGAAGGCAGCACGGCTTGGGAAGAGCCTGTCCCCATGGGCAGCGGGGCTGCCAGGCACAGCTACATAACTTGGTTCCTGCAAAGACAGACGTTAACTGATGTTCCCTTCTATTTGCCACAGGCTAAGGGTGCCCAGAGAAGCAGCAAGTGGCTGGGGATGGTGTTCAGGCTGCAGGGATCCCAGGTCCCTTCTGGGTGCTGGTGGGTGGGCACAGAGACGCCTGCCCCTTTCCCTTCCCAATCCCCTGTGAGCTCAGCCTCCAGTTAGTTTGGGTATGTTGAACTGAGCGACCAGTAATGGTCACCACGTCAGGCTGAGCGGGTGCGTCCTGAGCACACCCGCCCTGCAGGTCCCCGAGGTCAGGAGGCTGTCTTGGGGACAACGGAGACACGGGGAGCCCAAATCTCTGCTCTCTCTGCTACCGCCCAGTCCTGTCCCAGCTCAGAGCTGGGGAGATTGGGTTTCCCTCCTCTAGCCATGCTCAGAAGCACTGGGGGGACGGTGTGCCCCCTGCCCATTCATCACCAGGAGCCATGAGAGGCACGGATGTGCTTTGGGGATTTTAGCCATTCCATTCTTGCAAGGGAGCAGGGGTGAATGCAGTTTTCTGTAGGCTTGTAACTTGGCCAAGCTTAAGCAAAGTTTCTCAGAGACTGTCTCAGGGAAAGCGCTTTCTATGAACGTTGTCCTCGTGCCAAATTGATTTCCCTTTGGGGAAAGGCCTTTCAAATGAAACAGCTCAGCCATTCTTATAGCAAAGGCAAAACCACGCATTTCTGTCTTAAATTTATGCTCAGAAACAGCATCATCCAGAGACAGACCCCCAGCATACTCCAGTTCAGCCCAGCTGTTAATGTTTGACACAAGCAGCTAAAACCAGGGTCCAGTAGTGGTGCGAGCTCGGCTGTGTGCCCATGATGCCCACGCGATGCCCAGGCGTTGCCTTCTTCTCTCGTGACCGTTGTTGTTGTTCCAGGAGAACCCGTACCTGTGCAGCGATGAGTGTGATGCCTCCAACCCGGACCTGGCCCACCCGCCAAAACTCATGTTCGACAGTGAGGACGAAGGTCTGGCCACGTACTGGCAGAGCGTGACATGGCGCCGGTACCCGGAGCCGCTGTTGGCCAACATCACGCTGTCCTGGAACAAGAGCATCGAGCTGACAGATGACATCGTGATAACCTTTGAGTATGGCCGACCCACCATCATGATGCTGGAGAAGTCGCTGGACAACGGGAGGACTTGGCACCCGTACCAATATTACGCAGATGACTGCATGGAGGCCTTCAGCATGCCAGCACGGAGGGTCCGAGACCTCTCCACCACCAGTGCCAACAGGGTCCTCTGCACAGAGGAGTATTCCCGCTGGGCGGGCTCCAAAAAGGAGAAGACTGTCCGGTTCGAGGTGAGGGACCGCTTTGCCATCTTTGCTGGCCCTGACCTCAAGAACATGGACAACTTGTACACCCGTCTGGAGAGCGCCAAAGGGCTCAAAGACTTCTTTACTGTGACCGACCTGCGGATGAGGCTGCTGAGACCGGCCCTGGGGGGCACCTACGTGCAGAGGGAGAACTTGTACAAGTACTTCTATGCTGTCTCCAACATTGAAGTCACCGGCAGGTAACGGCTGCTGTATTTCTTTGGGCATCTCTTCTCGGAGGGATGAGAAGAGGGTTACTGCTAGAAAATTAAGCCATCAGCGTTTCTGTCAACCGATAAGATTATCAGTGTTTCTCCCTCTAATACCCTTTCTCCCCAGGCAGGGCAGCATCGGTGATAAAACAGATGTGTCCTTGCAGGGAACGGCTGGGGCACCTCCAAGGCTGTGTCTGAGAGAAGGGCTCTGCGCTCCCCGAGCTGGTGCAGGGGAGCTGGGACATGGCTTGGATGGATGGTCGGGCTCTGAGTTTCCTCTCAGATACCCTGTTCCCAGCTGTGCAAACATAGCCAGGCTCTGCCCAAAAAGCTCAGGGGCAATGCTGGTGGATCTCGGGGGTTGAAGAGTGAGGCTCGCCCCACTGAACTCCAGCTCACTGCCAGTACAAGCAGGATGGGTCATCCCGAGTCAGTCCTGCACCTCTGGAGCAGCTCTGGCGCCAGCAGACGAAGTTTGGAGTGAGGGTAAACCCCCCAACAGATCTGGGGCAGGGGAAGGCAGGAGGGGGTTTGTTTCTCCTGGGTTTTGTTTTTCATTTCTCTGTACGATGCCATATGTTACATTATGACATCAACCGAAAAAGCAAAGTAAGGTGGAAAAATGCCGAGATGGCTAATTTCCCATCCAGCTTGTGGATTCAGCTTGTGTGAGACTTACAGACGAGAGGGGAAAAATCTCCCCATCACCCACCCCGTGCTAACAAGAATCACCACAGCGACAGAGGAGCTGTTTGTATCAGTTCCAAACCGTTTGATTCTGAGACTTGCAAGCAAAAATGTTTTGCAGGTGCCACCGAGGCTGGCTTTGAACCGGCTCCAAGGGGGAGGAAGCTGCAGCGAAGGATGGGAGAGCCCTTTTCTCCCACAGGGGCAGGCAGGAGACAGCAGTGAGGGCAGCAGCAGGCAGAGGGGATAGATCTCTCTCACGGTGTGGTTGCCTGTCTGGGATGAGCAGCCGTGGCTCTCGGCTGGGCTGGTGGCGTGTCGGGGTGCTGGCTGGTGGGACTGGGTGGGGAGGAGCCCGCGGGAGCTCAGGCACACGGGCAGAGCTGCGGGAGAGCACCTCTGTGTGCGTCTGCAGGCGCTCAGGTATTGGTGCAGTGTGCTTCTGTATAAATATGTGCAGAGAGATATTTTACACCAGCCTGTAAGAGGTATTGCCAGGTGTACTAAATATCCACAGGCCTCAAACAGCTCAGGATGGGGCAAAATAGCAAAATAAAGAGTGTGGAAGGGAGGGAAAGCAGGCAAAGGTGAGAGAAGAAGCCAGCGTGTTGCCTTCTCCTCCACCCCAACCACAGCCAGCCCTGCCCCGGCTCCATCTGCCGCAGCCTCACTCCCCAGGGCTGCCAAACTGCCCGCAGGGATGCTTGATGTTACTGGCAGCAGTGGCAAAGCCCCAGGGATCAGTTCCCAGCCAAGGCCCACGCTGACCAGGATGGCTGTCAGGAGGGGTTGGAGCTGGTGTATCAAGTTACCCAGGCTGGTTAGACTCCGTAACAGGGATGCAGAGTTTTCAGCTCAGAAAGTGGTAAATTAGGATTCGATGTTTGCTGTCAGTGTTTGATGTCAATGCTTGTGCAATGACCTTTGGCTTCCAAGCATGGAGATGACTGTGCAGATAACCCAGGATTCGTTACTGCACCTACAGCAGCTTCAGCATATTCGATGCTTTAAGGTACATGTTAAAATACTCCTGGTGTCCCGTGAATGCCTTCTTCCTCAGAGCCCTTTACCTTTTCTGCCTGCCTCAGGCAGGTTATGTAGCATCAGTACTTTTGACTTCAGCTGGTGGGGTTTTCCACAAACCAGTGCCTTGCTGGCTGTCCGCCACCTTCCTCCCCCCACACCCAGTCCCCCACCAGCTGTCAAACTCACTGGCCAAATTTAATACCATCTGATCGTAGCAGAGATCGTTTCAAGAGATAAAATCCCTGCAAACTTTGTGAAAAGAGGCAACTAGGACAGTGGAGGGAAACCCTTTTAAACACCCCAGGGAGGGGGAGACACAACTTCTATGAGACATCTGAGATTCCACAGCCGCCTGCACCCTGAAGACAGTGCTGGGGACGGGTGTGTGTGTGTCTGTGTCTGTGTCAGGCTGCAAATGTCCAGTGGAAGCTATAGTGCTGCTTTTTTGCTGGGGCCAGAATGAGATGGGCTGGGGTTTGTTGGCTAATTCCTGACAGCCTGCCCCTGGAGCTGACATGCTGCCTGCGAGGATAACTGCCTGCGTGGACGTGTGTCTGCGTGGATGTGTGTCTGTGAGGATGTGTGTCTGTGTGGATGTATGTCTGTGGGGATGTGTGTGTGTATGTATGGCTGACTGCGTGGACGTGTGTCTGTGAGGACGTGTGTCTGTGAGGACGTGTGTCTGCGTGGATGTGTGTCTGTGAGGATGTGTGTCTGCGTGGACGTGTGTCTGCATGGACATGTGGATGTGTGTCTGCGTGGATGTGTGGATGTGTGTCTGCGTGGACGTGTGTCTGCATGGACATGTGGATGTGTGTCTGCGTGGATGTGTGTCTGTGAGGATGTGTGTGTGTATGTATGGCTGACTGCGTGGACGTGTGTCTGCGAGGATGTGTGTCTGCGTGGATGTGTGGATGTGTGTCTGCGTGGACGGCTGCCCACGGCTGCCTGCCGAGCCGCAGGTCCTGCTTGCCTCTGCTTCCCTCCTGGCTCTGCTCACCGTGAGCTGCCTGACAGCAACTCCTCAGATGTAGCAGAGCCTCTGGGAGGAGAGGGCTTTTTCTTGGCCGGGGACAAAGGAAACTCTGAAAACTGTTTTTTCCAGCCCAAACTCCAAGTCCTAAGCTAGAGCAAGACCCCGGCTTTGCAGTGCTTCAGTTCTTGACGGCTGTCCCCGCTTGCTGGGCCAGTCCTGGGAGAGGGGGACACTCATCCTGGGCAGGGAAGAAGGGGATGCCTGCCCTGGGCTGACTCTGCCTGGCTCCGATGGGCACAGGGCAGGGAAGGATGACAGGCTGAGGAGCTGTGGATAACTGGTGTATAAGGTGGAAAAGCTTCATGTGAATTAACTCTGCTCCTGTGATTATTCTGGCCCCAGCAAGCAGGTTTTTTTCGCTGGAGAGCAATCTAATTCCCGCTGTAAGCAAAGCCAGTTACAGCGCAAGGACTAAAACCAAATTAAATCTTGTGTATGGCTCAACAAGAGGTGGGTTATTGAGAGGAAGAGAGGAGAAATCAATGTGAGCCTGACAGGAGCGCTGTGCGGGGAAGGGGGGAGGCAGGGCTGGGGACAGACACACGCTGCCTCTTCCAGGACGTGGGAACAACCATGTTTGAGGAACAGGAGGAAAGTGCCTAGATAAAATGGGGAGGGGTGTTAGAGATCCACTGCAGAGCTCAGGGAAATGAGAGGGAAGATAATTGTGAAGATATGAGGGCTCAAAGGCAAAAAGCAGCCAGAAGATTCCAGCTGGAGAGCAGAGACGTGAACAGCCCCAGGAGGCTGGAGGAGCGGTGCCCGGCGGCAGCGGCGTGTGGCACTGAGGAGCGGCGTGTGCCATCAGAGCGCGTGGCATTGCCTGTGCCCCCGTACGGTGCCAGGATTCTGGCAGGCGGCTGGCAGTGTCCACGGGGCGCTGAGACACATGGCAGCTTGTCTCCAGTTGATGTTCACACTCAGGGGAACAGCAAAACGCTTTGCCCTCAGAGCAGATCATGAGCCCGGGTGGTTTCTCATGCCGCAGCCTTAGCTGGTGAGTTCAGAGAGATTTCTCTGATCCCCACAGCCCACGTGCTCCTGGGCCTCCATCCAAGTGCAGCCCATCCTTCACCCCTCTGCTTCCCACCAAGGAAAACCCCTCACCTCAATCTCCCAGAGCTTTTGGCAAAAGCAGAAAGAGACGGAGCAAAGAACGTGGGGAGAAGGGGAAGGAGTTTGCTGCCTTCTCTTCTCTTGTAGGCCAGATGGACCAGGGTGGTTCAAGAGTTTTCCAGGACCTTCAGAGGATCTGGTGCATCCTGAGGGTCACTGCACCCTTCCTGGGTGCTTCAGGGCCTCCTCTGCCCGCCCTGTCTGGACCTCTGCCTCCCATGACCTCAGCCAGGTCCGTTTCTCTCTTCATGGCTGACAGTTTATTTTTATTCTCTTTCTTCTCGGTATCTTTTTCTTTTCTTTTTCTTTCTTCTTCCATCCTGTCCCTATTGATCTGAGGAGTAACTGGAGATGCAGAGGAGTCAAGACAGGAATAGACACGAGCAAGCCCTTGGCCTTTGTGCTTGTGTGTGTGCCAGGCAGGGTGGGGAAGAGAAGCGGAAAGACTTTTCCCCACAGATCTCTCTATTCACAGCTTAGTTTTCTCCTCGGTGCAGAAATGAGCTCAGTCGTCTCCTCAGGAACGGGTGAATGAGCTTTTCCTGGCTGCCAGGACTGACGGCCGGCGCAATGAAAGCCCCTGGTTCTCTTCCCATTACACACTGTGTCTCTTTGGAGTAATTTTTTCCCCTTCATAACGTCAGTCACCGCAGTGCTCAGCAGGGCACGCTCCATCACGGAGACGTTAATAAGCCATAATTGAAGTTAATGTGCCATGGCCAGGACATGTGGATCCAGTTAGGAGAAATCAGATTGAGCAGAAGTGAATCAATTTTAGGCTAATTATTAAGATTTCTCACCTTCGTCCTCCCCTGCCCCAGTGCATGCTCTGTCTGTCTGTCTGTCCATCCTGCCAGTGATGAGCAGTCCCCGGGGGAAGGCCGGAGGAGGGAGAATTACTTGTCACTGAGCAGCTCCATGTAACAGTGCCTCATCTCAGGCTTTGCTCAGGCTAAAGAGGCACAACAAGAAGATGAGGTTTCCAGTTTTTAACAGCATGTCCTTTCCTCTCTTCACCAATGGCTTTTCTGAGAGTTTCCTTGGCTTCTCTTTTGCCTACACAAAAGAATTGAAGGGAAAGGCCCTCTGTGCTCCTCTGCTTTGATCCCTGTCTTCCCCT